GGCCCGCCAGCCGCACGGCGGCGCCGGGGGATTTACCAATGGAGAAGCAATGGGGTTGCGGCTCGATTTTTGGAGTTTTCGCCGTAAGACTGAGCCTATTAAGCGGCGGCGGAAGCCGCCGGTACGGATGTCATTTACCACCGCCGATCTTGTAGCAGAGAGCAAGGTATATCCAGAACTAGTCTTATTGAATCAGTATTAGGTTTTGTTTGGAGGGGCGGAGTGGGAAGAACGAAGAAGAAATGTGGTTTTGTGTTTGCGTGTTTACATACAGACCACCAAATTACTATGTATTTACATAGATAACTGCTAGAATTGGCTTTTTTTATATTTATACCACACAAATCTCTTATATCACATAAAAAAATACCCCCTTTTTTACTTTAAAATAGTGAAATATTACTTTCATGCATGGGTGAGGTGACATATATGTTAAGATTGAAGTTTAGGAGTAACATATGTAAATACTTAAGGATCGAGTGGCATGTATGTAAATCTTCCTGTTTATAATTCTAAACTGAATAAACGAACAGGGTTATTTTGATTTGCTGACAGATGATTACTGATGAATATTAATTATCTGATCTAGTGATATCCTTCAATATTAATTTCTTAAATAAAATTTTAATCATATTTTAATGATGCTTAGATTTTTGGGTAATGTGGAGACCCGGTCCATCACAATTTAATTAGGCTACTAATTAAGAATCTTACATACCGCTCACCTACCACATCCCACATACCGCTCATCTATCTCTTACTTACCGCTCTCATGATTTTTATAAATAGTCACTTATGGTTTGTCATAAGCCAAGTCAGGCCAAGCCAAGTTCTCTAAGAGAGAAAGAGAGGAAGAGAAAGAGAGAGAGAGATGAAGGGAGAGAAGAAAATAAAGATTTTTTTATAAACGTCGAGGCGCTCGACGGTGTAATTTCTCAAAGAAATAAAATCCTATGTAGCTCCGTGGACGTAGGCAAATTTGCCGAATCACGTAAATCTGTGTTTCGCTCTGATTTTTTTTTCTGCGTGCAATTTTTCTCGTTCCATTTTTTGCTTTATTGTCGTCGTTTTTTCACAACAACTAGTATCAGAGCTTTGGTTCAGATCTAAGAAAGAACGATGGGCAGAGACGAAATGATGACATCGGGGATCGAGAAGTTCAATGGTTAAAATTTTGCTTACTGGAGGATGTAGATAAAGGACTATCTTTATGAGAAGAAACTTCATCTTCTGTTACTGGAAAAACGACCGAAAAAATTGTACGAGGCAGAATGAAATCTATTGAATTGACAAGTTCTGGGGATTATTCTATTAACCCTGTCGAGATCAGTTGCCCACAACATCATCAAGGATATGACTACTGTAGATCTCATGACGGCTTTATCATGTATGTATGAAAAGGCATCAACGAATAACAAGGTGCATTTGATGAAAAAGTTATTCAACTTGAAGATGTCGGAATGTGTCTCTGTTGCTCAACACTTGAATGATTTCGATACTATCACAAATCAATTGTCGTCTGTTGAAATTGGTTTTAATAATGAGATGCATGCGCTGATATTGTTGGTTTCATTGTCAAATATCTGAGAAACTATGAAGATTGCAGTTAGCAGTTCTGCAAGTAAATTTAAATTGAAATATGATGATATTCGTGATTTATTTTTTGCTGAAGAGGTGCGTAGGAAAGATTTTGGCGAGATCTCGGGTTCAAGTTCGACACTGATTGTTGATTCCAGAGGGAGATCACAAGACAAAAACTCAAACAGAGGAATATCAAAATCAAAGTCTGGTCACCAGACAACCTGCTGGAATTATGATAGGGTTGACCATATAAAAAGGAACTGCAGGAATCCTAAGAAGAATGAGAATGATGACACTAATGTTGTAACCGAAGAAATACAAGATGCGCTATTGCTGGCAGTTAACAGTCCCGTTGATGACTAGATACTGGATTCAGGGGCTTCCTTCCATACATCTTCCCACCAGAAGTTGATGCGAAACTATGTTGTAGGTGACTTTGGGAAAATACATCTGGCTGATGGAAAAACTTTGAGCGTGGTGGGGATTGGAGACATTGATATTGCACTCCATAATAAGACCAAATGGACTTTAGAAAATGTCAGACACGTTTCTGAGTTGAAGAAAAACCTCATCTATGTTAGGCAGCTCAATGAGGGTGGTCATTTAGTAGTGTTCTCAGATAACACCTGAAAGATTACCAAATGAACATTAGTACTGGCTCGGGGTAAAAAAATTGAAATACTATATATGAATACAAGTTTACTCAGACGTGGACACATGCATCAGATGTGCATTATGTGGAAGCAGAAGAATGTCAATTTCCTGAAAAGTGACAGAGCGCTAAGGGCAGGAAAATCAAACATTTTACAAACAATGGTGAAGAACCACAGAGCTATGAAGAAATCTTGCAAGATGAGAATTCGAGCAAGTGAGAGCTGACCAAGAAGGAGGAGACAGATTCCCTGCCAGGAAATCAGACTTGGGAGCTGGCAGAACTTCCACAAAGGAAGAAGAAATTATACAACAAGTTGGTGTACCTGATAAAGAATGCGCTTAGTGGCAGTAAGAGGTACAAGATTGGACTTGTAGGACTTTCAATAGAGACAGAATATTGCTCATGCAGTGAGAGTTGTAAACAGATACATGAGTAGCCTAGTAAAGAGCTTGGTGGTACAAGGCTACGTTAACGTTAATATGTCAACTGAGGGTGTTACTCGTGAGAAGCTGAAGTTGTGCTCGACTTCAACTGGTCTTTTGACATGAAGATCAAGACTATGAGTAACAGAGGTGGAGGATATCATATTTGAGGAAAATGTCGGTACAACTAGTAGATGATGCAACCAATAGGTGATGCAGTCAGTGTCACAGCCTCAAAGTGAGAGAATTGTTGGGTAATGTGGAAACCCGGTCCATCGCAATTTAATTAGCTTCATAATTAATAATCTCACCTACCACTCGCCTACCACATCCCACCTACCGCTCATATACCACATCCCACCCACCACACTCCTGGTTTCTATAAATTGCCTCTTATGGCTTGTCATAAGCCCAGCCAGACCAAGCCAAGTTCTCTAAGAGAGAAAGAGAGGAAGAGAGAGAGGAAGAGAGAGAAGAAAATAAAGATTTTCTTATAAACGTCGAGACGCTTGACGATGTAATTCCTCGAAGAAATTAAATTCTCTGCAGCTCCGAAGACGTAGACAAATTTGTTGAACCATATAAATTTGTGTGTCGCTTTGGTGTTTTTTCTGCGTACAATTTTTCTCGTTCCATTTTTCGCTTTACTGTTGTCGTTTTTTTACAACATAGATGATATAAATTTGAGGAAATCTATCTTGTGCGTACCCCGACCCTTGGTTGACATCCGCAGTATAAAACATCTCAGGTCGGGGTTCAAATCCTCTTTGACACAGTTGGCCCTAAGGAGGTGGTACCCGAATTGTTAGACACATTTGTGGTGGTTGGAGGCTCCTATAATAGCATCTGACCATTCTTTCAATTAAAAAAAAAAATAATAATAAAAAAAAATTGAGGAAATCAAATGAGCTTAAGAAATGACAAAAAAGTATGCCCTAACCTATGTTACCTTACATTATTTAAGCTATTTAATATTGAGCAACAATATTCAAGAACATTATTATCTCGAAAAGATTAAATCAAATTTATTTTCACAATAAAAAAATCTTTTACAAATTGTAGTCAATATAAAGCTTATCAAACTAATATTGGTTTGAATTAATATTGCATTACCCTTTTAACTCGATATTTTCATGCTTACCATTCCCATCATCTTCTAAGTTAAATGTTATTTAGAATAATTGAATAATTAAAAATTGCATGATAAATAAGTATTGTTATTGAAATTGATAGTGTCAATGTTAATCTAATCAAAAGATCAATAAAATGTGTATAATTGATTTCTTGTTTTAGCCAACATTTAAAATAAATCAGAAAATATAGAGATTTTAAAATTTTTGATTATGAATTTCAAATTTAAAATATACTAATTAAATGTGTAAGTGTTGTTTTTTTGTATCTGTGAATCTGTTGAATAAAATTTATATATAAGCTAACAAACATCATCAATTTTAAATGATTGGTATCCATCTCGAATATTCAATAAATTATTAAAAAATAATAATATTGCAATGTGTTATTTAAACATGTTATTTATCTCTTGTAGTTGTGTATCTAAGTGACTATGAAAATATCAATCTCATATTTATGCTATATTATAATATTATTTTTTTTGATAAGATATCTTCAACCTCTGGAATATATCTTTTTTCACGAAATAATTTCACCCTCTAAAAAAAAAAAATTATTATCTTTCTTTTAAATTTTAAAGAAAATATTTTTTTGCCCATACAAATTGCATTGCATTAAATACATCTTGTGACTTTTTTTATAATTCAAGAAGAGCAAACCAAATTAATTCTAAGTGACAAATATATGAAAATTTGACAAACTAGAATAACATCTTTTGTTGATGTGCTAAATAAATAATATAATTTGTAAAAATATAATTTTTTATTAACAAAACTTGCAAGTTATTTTATTCACTCTGTATATTACTTACAACATCATATAATTTGACACGTAATGTTATGAATATAAAAATTGTGATAACAAAATATCATAATTTTTTTTCCAAACTTTATGCACTCATGTCTTTAACATGTTTATATCAAAGAATTATTCTTTAAAAAATTCAATTTTATCCTCAAACCTTAATACAATTATCATTTATTTTTGTTTTAATTCATCTCAAGTTTCATCCATCATGCTACCAATATTTTACATTTTAAATTTCAACCTTATAAAATTTTTAATTTTGTTTGAAAAAGGAGATTTATTTTAGGATCTATGTGTAATGTATTTCGAAAAGAATTTAATAACACTTAAATTTAATGAGTTAAATTACAATCTTTATAATAAATTATTTAAAATAATTATTAAATTATTATTAACCATATATTTTTTGGGAGTGGGTGGGGGTGCAAAATTTTATTTTATTAGCCTCCTTTTAGTTCCACCACCAGATATTCTCATGTTTCAAAGGTTTGGTTTGCCTGTCGGTGATTTGTTCTTCTGGAATGTAGTAAATAAGCTTACTTACTTTTATTTCATATAGTTAAATAATAAGGGGGTAACCGAGTCAATGCTCAATTCACCAAAATCTCTTTCTCATTGAAAGCTTTGAAAGGTAATCAAACCCTACATAAACTAAGTTTAGGCATTGCCTGAATCTTAGAACGTGGAAAGCCCTTGCAAGCATATAAATATTATTGTTCGCAAAACTTTTGAATTGAAAATTTTAGAATTTTTTGCAAATCTTCTGAATTGAATGCTCATTATCTTTAATACTCTTTCTGATGAAGTGCATTTATCCTCGATATATTTGATTCTCTAATTATTTATCTATTCTTTTCATCTTTTGCTATTTGAATAGTGTTATTATGCTGTCATAAAACCGCTAAATTGTCCTATGTAAGCCTAAATCCTCAACCTGAGCTATCAACAAATAGCCTCCTTAATAGTTTCATTGTGTTATATATATCAACTAGATATGCCATTATATCTTTGTTAATCATGTATAATTGTAAATATTTGTCTGAATAAAACTATAGATTTCTTGTTAGGCTAGATATGATTGTCAAATTTACTTGTACATTGTTTTCTATGTAATGAGGAGAGCCATCTAGGTGAAGGCAAGCAATTTCTATTATTATGGAATCAGAGACATGATCATAGGCTTCTTGTCCTCCTCATCATGTATTACTAGCTCTACTCCTCCAACCAATGCTATTTTCTTATTCATCATGTTTTTTCCATTATCTAAGGCTTATTTTATGCTCAATCAACTCATTTAACAATTAACACCATTCTCTATTGGACTCTACGGAGATTAGGTGTCAAGTGGAAGACATAATATAGTAGGGAGCGACTCAAACGAGTAGTTTTCATGTGTATCATAAATGGTACATGTGTTGAGGAAGGATAAGAAATGGACCATGTGCATCAGATACAAAACACTGGCCAAAATCACCACCAGTAATCACCATCCTTTACCATTAATCCAAGAATTGATCAGCTAATTGCAATCGATCAAGTATTTTTTTGTCAAGTTAGATTTGATGTTTGGCTGTCATTAGATATAGTTGAGGAATATTCAAAAGGCTATCTTAGGCTATCTTCAAAATGAGTCAAGGGTTGTATAAATTGCTGGTGATGTCATTTGGACTTTATAATACTTTGGCCACCTCATGATATCGATGAATGAGGTATTATACCATTTTTTAGATAAATTTATAATTATTTATCTATATGATATTCTGTTATACATAGGCAACTAGGAGAAGCATTTGTTGCACATTGAGTAGATTTATAGGCTTCAAACTAAAGCCAAATTTCCATTTACTCTCAAGAAGTGCTAGGGTCCAACTTGACTTCATTGTAGGCAGAAGAATTCTATAAATAGATTAATCGAAGATAAAAATTAATAATTGGCTCAACTCCCATGCCATTTTTAAATCAAGGAGCTTCATGGGTACTTGTTAGTAAATGAGGAAGTTCGCTCCCAAGTTCTTAGTGCTAGTTGACTATACATGCCATCATAGTTGTTAGTCACCCCTTCTAGTGGGGTGAAGAAGAGGAAAACAACTTTTTGCAGTTAAATAAGATCATTGAGTGGTCTATTCTTGCTCTTTCAACCTATAATGACCATCCGGGCTGGAGATGAATGCCTCCAATTTGCATTGTCTCCATTATCATCAAAGATGGAAGATCCATGGCTTACCATCTAGAGATGTTGCAGGTTACCCACATAACTACTCCATCTATAACAAGAATTCTATAGTTAACATTTGGCTCTGAAGCATTGGAGGCACTACTTTTTGAGGAAGCAAATCATTCTGCCTATAGATCACTAGCCACTAAGTACTTGCAAACTCAATTCATGCTACACCACAAGCTATGCATCATGAAGAGTACAATGCATTGCATGCGACAGATCCACACTTTGAAGTGCCGTTGGAAGCTCGTAAAGGGTTTGGACAACAAAGTGAAGGAGTTCCACAATCTCTAGATGAATTTGAAAGGCTCTCAAGAGGTCAAAATGGGTATGGGAAGTAAAATACAGGTTTTGAGCCATCAAATTCAACAATTTACGATGTTGGGCACAAGCATGCAACTTCAGGTAAGGTCTATTGTACCATACAGATCAATTGTGTATGCCGAGAGATGCTGATTGTGTGATTTTGACATGAGTAGAAGCTATTTTAAGTAAATCGATTCCTAAAGAGAATTCACATGATCCATTAGGAATTGGAAGAAAACTTTAGGTCGCCATGTATCCACCATGAAAACAAAAGATCAAAGTACAGTTTCAATGAGGGTGATATAGTTTGATTTCATCGTTGAAGGATCAAAATGAGAACTGAAGGATATATGATCAAATCCATTTGTTATGATTCACTGCAGATCTTATAAAAGATTGGTGAAAATAATGATTAGAATTACCTTTCTACATGAGGACCTTTTTATTATCAATAAAAAGAATTTGAAAGTTATTTGAACGTCACAGCTTGATGATACAAGACACAAGAGGGTGATTTCTAAGTCAAGAATCTCAACATTAATTGTGAAGAGGCCCATTACAAAAAGATTACATTGTGGATATGAAAGTCACTTTGTTGCGGGGTAAGCTAAAGATTGGGTTAATCCCTGTATTTATGAGGTAGCTTGCTAGAATCTTAAAGAGCTTTGTAAACTTTCAAACTTTAAGGAGATATTCTCGCCTTGATTTAGGTAAGCTAATTTAGAATTTTGAATTTTAAGATCATATTCTCTACTTGATTTTTACATTCAGTTTTAATTTTGATGTCCTTTTCATATTTTATAAATATATGCATTCTGATCATTGAAAACTTCAAATTTCCAATTTTCAAATTTTAAGTTCCAAGTCTCCCTCTTACCAGTTCCTTACCAAAATTCTCTTGCCTCCAAGGCCGAATTACAACAAGCCATTGCTTTCCATAGTCTCTCTTTGTATGTGTTCTCATTAAGGACCGAAGGACATAGGTGAACCTCATCAAGTTACCTAAATTTTATGTGTGCCTATGTTTAAGTATTTACTGTTTTTGATTTCTTCTCTTCTCGTGCTTTGATCGTTAGTATTAATCTAACAAAGATCACTTTATCCAGACAACCCTAAACTTGAAAAAAAGATATTTTACCTGTTCTGAGAAATTAGAGATTTACTCTTTGTTTTCGCTGCATTCCGGCCAGAAGGAAGTTTGAATTGTTATCCTTTGTATTACATTTTGGAACTGACAAGCTTCTTCTTTTAATTTTGGCCAGCAAATTTAATGTTTTCAGTTTTCTACATTTTAACTTAAAATTGAGTAATATCCTGAACCATATATAACTGATCTTCCAATTATTCACATTAACTTCATATCCTGCATGCTTTATGCTTGATATTACGGAAATCATTTTAGACCATTGTGGAGAATATGATAATTCAATCTATACTTAATTAAGTGGAAACACGCTTGCTTCAGTTGCCAACTGGAGGTGTGAAACAAAAAAATTATTAGTACATTGTGCTTAAATCCTCAACTACCATAAGAAGTTCTTTTTATTTGTTTATTAAAGCTAACCTTTTATTCCATTATAAGAATGAAGGAACATGAAGTTTTACCAAAATTAAGACACAAATAGGCACCCATTTGCCTATCATAAATTGATGCCATTTTTTTAAGTGTAGATACGGGATTTGGATTTGGACAGAAAAGATCCTCGGTCGGTTGTGGCGGTCATTTTGGGAGGTGGAGCAGGAACTCGTCTTTTTCCTCTCACGAAACAAAGGGCCAAACCAGCAGTACGTGCTTTTATTTTCATCAAACTTTTGTAGCTTCTCTTTACAAAAAAAACTCTACTTCAATTCAAGGCTATAACATGCATTACTCTGATATACCATGCCTAGAAAAAATCTATTTTGATGTGACCCTTTTCTTTTTGCCAAAAATATCTTTAACTTAATTTTTTTGTGGTAACGTAGTTTCCTTGCCAGAATAGATTCTCCTTTTAAATTTGTTGCCTCGATTATTGATCTTCATCCATCTTGTTGCTAGTGTTATATATTCTTGAAATAAAATAAATTGAATCATGAATTAGTGTCTAGCTGGAATTTGTTCATTTTGATATGTGAAAAATTGTTGGATAGTATTTCATATAAGTGATAATTTTAGTAGTAAAGTGTTAAAATAGTTCTCTGACTATTTACATGAGGTCATTTTAGTCTCAGAGTCCATAAGAGTGATCCCCGGGATGGATATTTTAGCCCATTAAAAAGTTTAGGGGTTAATTTGACACTTTTATAGAATCTGAGATTAAAGTAGACCTATAAAACGAGTCAGGGGACCATTTTGACACTTAATGTTATATACATGTATTGTTGAAGCTAATGCATCTCCACTCCTCTTTTGTAGGTTCCCATAGGGGGGGCATATAGATTGATCGATGTTCCAATGAGCAATTGTATTAATAGTGGAATCAATAAGGTGTATATTCTCACCCAATTCAACTCTGCATCACTTAATAGACATCTTTCGAGGGCATACAATTTCAGCAATGGCATAAGTTTTGGTGATGGTTTTGTTGAGGTACACATTTATTTATTCAATTTTGACAGTTGATATCTTCAAATTAGCATTTTGACATGTTCATACAATCATTCTGTCATAATTTGCATCATGATGTTTATTTTTTATTTTTTATTTTTAGGCTCTTTTTGGAATTGTTTTCTTATTTTATGCTGTAGATTAAAGCAGATAACTGTTTTCAATAGTTATATTAATGTTGCTATTTTAAAATTTGTAGTTGTTTGTTGAAAATATGTTGTGATATTGATTGAATGACTAAAAATGAATATTATGATGAAGCTCATCTATGCATTTATGATTTAATATCCAAATTTTAATTAACATTTATATCACTAAAATAATTTGTTAATTAGTTAATGCAATAAGAAAGCTAAACTCCAGGAGAAATCCTTTCCTTGAAAGCTATCTAAATAATCATTGTAAGAAAGTAGTTATTTTATTTTATTTTTTTTATTCAGTATCCATTTTATTCTGAAAGGTATTGGCGGCCACTCAAACTCCAGGTGAGACAGGGAAGAGATGGTTTCAAGGTACTGCTGATGCTGTTCGTCAATTTCATTGGCTATTTGAGGTAGTTTTGATTTTTATACTTCCAAATTGATCCCATTTTTAGTATTACTCTGACACTAATTTCTCTTTTGTTATGTCAGAACGTGTAATTTGTACAAGTTGTTTTACATGTGAAATTGTTGTCTAACTTAGAGAATAATTAATCTTCTTATACATTATTCTCCAACTAGGCTAGCTTTAACTTCCTACATTCCTTCTTATTAAAAGTTTTATGAGACATGCTCCTTTGTTGAATACGCCTAAGCTCTAGACAATGCTACCTTTTATCTACCAGCTTTTATCTACCAGTTTTTTTTTTTTTTAATAACCCTTTTATATTATTCTATCTATCCGCAAAAACGGTATATCTTCCGCTCTTTGTTGAATATGCCTAGACTACTTCAAAGTTTTTTCTTCTACTCGTTTGCATTATAGGCTAATTCCATCACTTCTCTAATAGAATTATCACTCTCTTGATCTTCTTTCCTAATGAATTTTCTCTAACTTTTATTTTATACAAATGATTTTCTCTAGGGAAATATGCTTTGAAAATCCCCGACTTGCATTTGCATTCCCTCAACAGCTTAATAATAACTTGCGCATAATAAGAGAGTATAATGATTTTATTTCCTATAGCACAACAACATTATAATCCCATATGTTGACCTCATTTTGGAGGTCTTCTTTTCCCTTTCTCTAGATACCCTAGGATCTAGCCTTAAAATTTTTCTGTTTTGACTCTCTTAGAGAGCTAGACTGGGACCCACACCCTTTTGAAATTCAAGTTATTTCTTTGCTCTTTGTAGTTTCATATGGACGGTTTCAGATCCTCAATATTCAATTGAATCGATCGAAAAGTCGACATATTGAAGCTCAAATTGAGCTCCTATAGAAATTTGAAAGACATAGGTGGACACCGTGGCGCGTGCGTTGTTTGACTTGCCACTGCGAGCGTCGTATTTGACTTTGGTTGTTGCTTATGCGAGGACCGACCAATATTTTCATCTTACTCGTTAAACGACTCTGGTCGGGCCAAAATAATTTCGTTTGTCGCGCCACGCGTGAATCGAATTTAATTTGGCACGATCGTCGATGACTTTGTCCAGATAACTGTGGATGATGAAACAGACTACGCTATTGCGTCCGGGATGTCAATTTTAGCTAGGGAGGACATCCATTTTGTGGGGGCTTCGAGCGTGAGACCTCATTTTTTGTGAGGTCTAGTCTTCCTCTTAGGGTTTAGGATCTAGCCTTAGGGATCTCCCTTCGACTATCTTAAAACCTTAGAAATGGGACCCGCCTCATTTTAAAAAATTCAACCCGCTTCTGTACTCTTTTGTGGTTCCAAGTGTGTGGTATCGATTTCTAGCATTTAGAAGAGCAGAACCAACATGAGGAAACTCAAAAGGGATCCCTATAAGACCTTTTGAGCTTTAGGGTGGCCTTCTGCACAACTCGCACTCCCGCGCGCACAAACTTCGCAATTCGGAGGGTCGACACGTCCGATCGCCACGATTCGCATCGCTCGCACTGTTACTTGTCGAATGCTCGAGTTAACCTTTTGAAACGATGGATCGCGGGTCGAATTTTTGTGAAATTTGAATTTTGACGCGTTTTTTACCCGATTTTTTGTGAAATTTGAATTTTGACGCGTTTTTTACCCGGATGACAAAACGGACTGCGCTGGCGCGTCCAGGACGTCGATTTTGCCTAGGGAGGACACCCATTTTATTACGTCGCCGCGCGCGAATAAATCGAATATAATTTAATATATATATATATATATATATATATATATGTATATATATATATATTTATTTATATTACACCTATTTTCCCCTTTTCCTCT